TAATAAAATTTTGAGTAATTTTAATTTGAAAAAATGTTCAAAATTGTCCAAAATTGTCCCATGTACAACACTGATTGCAATAGCTAGTAAATTTTGTATCAAAAAATTTTTATGGTAAATTATAATAAAAATTGCGACAGTTAATTCAAATTAGAGTTGGCCTCGAAACGAAACCTACCCAAACTTAGTTTCGGGAAGGTTCTAATCCGAAACTAGTTTCGAATTTTTTAAAAAAATCGAAACTCCAAAACCTGAAATTCCTGAATAATCCGAAACTCGAAACCCTGGTTGATCAATCAATATGCAGGATCAAGCGTAACATGAAAATTGAAACAATTACGATTTTTTAAAAATAGTTTCTACCTCTCTTTTTATCCTACTGAAAAAACTCCTTGCAAAATTTAAAAGGTCTTCTAATTATTTACCTACCCGAATCCTAGCCTAAGCTTTAACCCAATTGTCATATGGGCAGATTTATTTCCGATGTGATTATTGCAAATCTCATGCTGATTGGCTGATTTACGTAATACACTATTAAAATTTGGGGATTCATAGAAATAACATAACTTTTTATATTTTATACCGGGTGTTTCAAAAGTTCCACTACTGGTCCCTATTTTTTTATATATAGAGATTACGATAAACTTTATATACCTATATCATAATCTCTATATAAAAAATAGGGACCAGTAGTTGGACTTTTGAAACACCCGGTATCAGTCGATCGAGATGTCACGGTGAATAAATTTTTTACTATGAAATTTGAGTGATTGACACTCATATAAAAAATTTGATTTTCATAGTAAATTACAACGGTTAACCATTTTCAATCATTGTTTTCAGGGGTTTCTTAAAAGGAAACTACACTCACAGGATGTAGTGAGTGTTCAGAAAGTCAAATATTATGCGATGAGTACCATATCCTGCCGTGAATAAGCACCCACCTTTTCAATTTTCACATCCAAGTTTCTCATGATCTAGTGATCGGATCTGTATAATTTTGGTACCATTCGAATCAGCTTATCAAAACGATTCGAATGGTATCAAAATTATACAGATCCGATAACTAGATCATGAGAAACTTGGATGTGAAAATTGCAAAAGGTGGGTGCTTATTCATGGCAGGATACGGTAAGTTTAAACCAAGATAAAAAAAGTAAACTCAAAAGAATCTTGCTCACAAAGATAGCCTTTTGTTTCATATTCTATAACACGCATATAGTAGATTTTAACATTTTGCTGATTTATGAAGGTATTTTATGTAATATAAATATTCTTTAACAACTTTACTTCGATTTTAAAAGTTTTTTAACAAAAAAAGAATGAAGTACTAAAATATTGTAATTATGTTTTATTATTAGGGACGAACTATGTGTTGAATCAAAAGATTTAATCAAAAAAATTATTACTGTAGTATATGATGCGAACTATAATTAGGCTCATTAGAAAATAGTTTAGTTGTACTATATGAAACATGTATTACTGTATTAATTTAATTAATAAAAGGTCACAGTGTATAAATTGTTTTTATTAAAAATAAAGCTAATCATATACAGTAGATAAGAACAAAAAAAAACAGATACAAAAAATCAATTATTTCACAAACCATTGATCAGAATTATATAATTTTGGTACTGTTTGATCCGTCTCATTGAGATGAGTTGAATAGTACCAAAATTATATAAATCTGATCAAAGGTTTGCAAGATAATTGATTTTTTGTGTCTGTTTTTTTTTTGTCAAATTTGTTCTCTTTTTTATTACCAGGCCCATATTATCATTATGAATTCTTGTAAAGTGTTGTTCATACAATAAATTATAATACAGTGAATGTGTAAATATTAGAAGAATATAAATTTACCATAAATATAGGTTGCTATATATTAAAAAAAAAACCTTATTAGCAAATTGCAATTTATATACTGCAAAATAGTTTTTCTTAATTTACTCTATAATTTTATAAGATACTCTTTGTTCAAAGATGCATTTCACAGAAAGTTCTCATCCATGTGCATCTAACAAGCCATTTTTTATATCAAGATCTTAAAAACTCCAAAAAAATCTTGCAAAAGAAGGCAAAACAATTGCCCATCTTCAAAGGGGTTTCTCATTATCTGGTAATATTAGTTTTTTATATTATTTATGCCATTTGTTTCATTGAAGCTCTGGAAACATTTGTTTTAAAAAATGTTGTATATTGTGACTAAGACTTGGGAAAAAATTTTTAAAAACGTGATTTCGTCAATTTGTGTAATTTATAAAAATCATATAATAAAAAATTAGATGTGACATCTCGATCGACTGGTATAGTGCGAATATTTATATTACATATTTATATTTAATAAGGTCTTGGCTTAAAAGATCCTAAATTCTTTTTTCAAGATCCTAAATTCTTACTAGTAACATTGTTAAAAAATAGACTATATAAAAACACAAAACTATATATAAAACGTGGCAAAGATTTTAAAAGAATGCATGACTAGCTTTAGTGTTCCCTATGAAAAAATATATACTAAAATAATAAAGAAAAGTACAGATAATATACAGAATATAATTTATATATACAGAATAATAAAGTTATATAATAAATTAATACTGAATAAATATATTAAATAGATATGAAATTACATTAATACTTAATTAATATATTGAATAGATATGGAATTTCAATTGCTACAGAATTAATACTTAATTAATATATTGAATAGGTACAGAATTATTGTTGATACAGAATTAATATTTAATTAATCTATTGAATAGATACAGAATTATTGTTGATACAAAATTAAACAATTATTAAAATTTCTTTTATATACTGTGCTAAAGACACAGGTTATGAGCTAGTAAATTATTAATTGGTTTTAAAATTTGCTATACTAATAGATTACATATACAGCAAAGCAAGAGCATAAAAATAGTTTCTCTACAAATAATTTGAATATATTGAATATAAAAGCAACCATTTTGTTATAAGAAAACCAATTATATATCTAATTAAAATTTTCTCTACTAATTTTATATTGTTATATCAATATTAAACATATTGAAAATAATAGTGTAAATGCTAATCCTAATGTTAATATTTTATTAATATCTCCTTTACTACTACTGCAATGAAAATTAGGTAAGCATGTTGAACCTTCAGGACAGCATCTACTATCACTATCTGTACATGCATAAGTTCCACTTGGACAGGTAAGAGACTTTTTCATTAAAGATGCCAAAGATGTGCTATCAGAATATTTCTGGTTAATGGAAGAAGCACGAATAATCTGTTCATCTTTTTTTAAATTATAAGAAGAAGTGCAATTAATTTTCATCATCTCTTTTTAAATTAATAAAAAAAGTGTGATTAATTTGGTCATTACCTCTTTTTAAATTAAAAGATATCAAAGCAAAATAAAGTTGCTAAAGAATATAATAGAGAGAATGAGTATCAAAAATTTACTTTTCATAATAATTTTGGAAGTTTTGAATAATTGTATGCAAACAATTTTGTCAAATTGAATAGAACATATATTTATAAGAAAATAAGATATTATCAGCTGAATATTTGAATAACTTCTTTAATTAATTATCTGTGACAAAGCGGAGAAATCATAAATATTCATGCATTTTAACCATAAAACTTTTTTTTATTAAATAATAATTAATGCAATAAAACCTTTAGAATTAATTCACTTTAAATATTAAATTTTGTTAAACCAGTTATGAGTTGCTAGACTCCTTCAGTTGAGTTGATCAGAAACAGACTTTAGAATCTCTACAACAAAGAAAAGAATTTTGTTGTTCTATAGAATAGGGCAATATAAAAAATAAGCCTTGCTGATAATTGGTAATTATTAATTTTTTAATATATTCATATGATATTTAGCAGAGTTTTGCAGTGCTTGACCACCTATTCTATAGAACATCTGAATATTTTATTAACTTTTAAAATATGTGCCCAATAATTTCTGTTAAGTAGCATTACAAGCTAATTAGACTAGGATTGACCTGAAAATTTTATTATGAAAGCTTATAACTTTTTCAGATCGGTCATAAAAAAAACAAAGCCGAAGTCTCATCTAATACTCTTTCCAGCATACTAAAGCAATCTGAAGTCATTACCCAATTGACTGTTTAACAGTCCTGAAATGTCAAAATTTAGAAAGATAGTAAAGACTTTCTTAAACTTATTCTTAGATGCAAAGTCTGACCATTAATGCAACTTATTGAAGATATGGATAAATTTTATCAAAATTTTCTATATATAGTAAAATATATAACTTCATTCTGCAATAATATTTTGTAATACAAAATGCAAGAAGAAAATTGTAAATTGTATATATATACGTACCTGATTAGCCACATGTGAAAGGTTTCCAGATTTAGTAATAGATTATCATAAGGTAGCTACGTAATGCTGTCACGTGAAACCAGGAATGTAAATTAATGAATTAATACAATTTGATCAAATTATTTGAGTACTTTTAAAATTATAAATAGTCCAAAGAATTTATGAGTAAAGCTTGCAATCGATATTATTTTTCTTATGACGAAATAAATTTTGATTGGTTTTATTATAAGAAAATAAAAAATTAGAAAAATTTTAATTGTGTTTGGATTTGAGGTAGTGAAGCAGGTGGTTGTTGATTGAGTGATCAGGTTACCGAAAGAGGATAAACGATTACTCTTTACAGAAACTATCACAACAAGTAATACTGTATGAAAAACTATTTTTTTTGGTTTTTAAATTTTACAACAGTAAATAAGAATAAACGAAAACTTTATATATTCCAAGTTATTAAATTATTTAAATATTTGATTTGATTAAAGAAAATTATAGTTTTTATTATCAAGGTCATGATAAGAAATTCAATCCATATTAATTATAGTACAACAGTATAATATATTCGTCATCAATGAGAATATTACCAGATCAGATTAATAATTAATTGGGCTATTTGATTCTGCAGTGTATGCACGTAAAATAAGTTCTTTGTCTCTTTATGCATCAAAACAAAAATTTATTACAATATCTTTAAGTAATAATAATGTAATCTAATCAGCTAATTAATGTTTTCTGGATTGTGATTAACCGGTCAATTACTCGATTGCGTTCGCTTGATCTTTATTTTTTTCATAAACACAACGGTAAAATGAATTAACATATATATATTAATTATAATGCTAGTAAAGATCTACAGTATGAACTATAATACTTATACAGATCAAATATTATTTAGAATATCAAAAATTACAAGTGGAAAAATTTTCGAAAATAATTAAAAAGAGCAAATAAACAAACTTGTTCAACAGTAGGGATCATGTATAAGCAGATCTAAATCTACATAAAATCTATGAAGTGCAAATCATACTATATATTTTTTATTCTTGAATCGATTACTAAAAGTAGTAAGGTATAACAGGTATAGATGCTCATATATATGTACCAGAATTTATAATAAGCATATAGCCACAATTTTATAAAAATAAATCACTTTTATATGGCATTAAACAAAACCAGTATATGTGATCATGTATGTTGTGAAAGTGTGACTAACCACTTTAAGGCTAAAACTATCTAATAACTACCTAAACTATTTAAACTATACTTCTAGTACTTCAAAAGTATCGTCAAGACTCCAAGGACCTTATAGTGAAAGGCTTCGAATAGAGGTGTGGAGGACTTGGTCCGAGTTACAAGGTCTCTTGGGTCTTGTTTGTTTTTGCTAGGTTTAATATAAGTATCCTTTTCTTTATACTTCTTAATTTATCTTGCTATTATTCTAATATTTAATACTAATACTCTATATTCTTCTTCCTTTAGCATACTGCGTATTTAGAGTCATGTGTATGTCACTTCGATAACTGCAGTTTTCTGGTAATTCAATGTTCGACTTTAAATAGCAATATCAACTTGGATTATCAATTTTACGTCACAGAGAAGTATACTGGATTTCTAATATGTCATGAGATTGTGATATCACGGGAATGTATAACGATTAGTATTAGTCTTATTGTTCGATTAATGCCAACAATAATGATGTCACGGGGATGATCAACTTAATTTACTATAAGAGAAGTAATAAGAATTCTAATACTTTTGTTTTTTCGATCAAGACTTTTTACTAACAATAATTTTGGATAGAGAGATAAGCGATTTATTAAGAATAATTTTGGTATTAGAAGGTATAGTTTTTAAGGAACAACTTCTACTGTTTGGACTTCGAAGCTTTTAGAGGTTTGGTTTTGTAAAACTCTGTAGAGTAATTAAATATCTATTACTAATAATTATTCAAATTAAAATTCTCACAAATGGATTCAAAATTTATAATTTGTCAATGTCCAAAATGTATTAAAGTTACTAAACGAACTAAGCTAAAACATCAAAAATACTTTATTAAAGATGATAATATTTTTCAACTTAATTAGGTTGAATCAAATAATTATATTCATAATATGATAGCAACATAAGAATTTATAAAATTTTTATTATAAATAATCTAAATTTTATTTATTTATTTATTTAAACCTTAGAGAAAAAATTTCAGAAAATATTCAAGCTCAGTTAAATACTCATATACAACTAAATATAAGTATTGAAAATAGTGAAAGTTTTAATAATTCGCAAATTGAATTGGATATAAATATTGAAAATAATAGTTTAGAAAATATGGAAATTACAATAGATAAAAATTTAGAAATTAGTGATATTGAAAATTATCAATATCAAGATAATTATAGTGATAAAAATAATCAATATGATGTTAAATATGATAATGAAAATTATCAATACAATAATGAAAATAATCAATATAATAATGAATATGATGATCAATTGGAAGAGAAGTATATAAATTTATTAACAAATTATTATTTATTATATGTT